TTAATTTACCAAAACACCCCCCCCCCCCTCAAGTTGGAGGTGTGGCAAACATGGACAACTTGTTCAATGCTGCAGTATGCCTTATGCCAGTTAGTGTCTTGGTCAGTATGTCTGCGAGCTGAGTGTCTGAACTTAGATGGTGAAGGGAGATGAGTTCTTCTTGAAGTAAATTTCTCACAAAGTGACAATCAACTTCAATGTGTTTGGTTCGTTCATGAAATACTGGATTTCTACCAATGTGAAGGGTTGATTGACTGTCACAATATACAGCCATAGGAGTTGGCAGTGGCACTGTAAGTTCTACTAACAATTTGCTAAGCCAAACCAATTCACTTGAGATGTATACTCTGCCTCTGCTGAAGACAGTGATATAGTCTCTTGCTTCTTGGATTTCCAATTGAGTGGACTATTCCCCAGCAACACAATGTAGCCATTTACTGCTTTTCTGGAATCAGGGCATGCAGCCCAATCAGAATCACAATAGGCCTTAACGTCATATGATTGTTCTTGTGACATGAAAATCCCTAGAGTAGGATCTGTCTTGAGATACCTTAGTAGATGGAATGCTGCTTGTAAGTGTGATTCTCTAGGATCCTGCATAAACTGTCTAAGATGTTGCACACTATAGGAAATATCCATTCTGGTGTTTGTCAGGAAATTTAGCTTCCCAATAAGCTTCCTGTAAAACACAGGGTCTAACAAAAGCGTTCCTTCTTTGGCATGAAGCTTTATTCCAGGATCTAGAGGAGATATGCAGTTGTTCATGTTTGCAACATTGTAAGTTCTCAACATATCAAGAACAAACTTTCTTTGTGAAATAATAAGTCCATCCTCTTTATAAAGTACCTCCATTTCAAGAAAATAGTGCAACCTTCCTAAGTCTATTATTTTGAACTTATCATGTAGGAAAGTTTTGAGCTCTTCAATCTCAATATCACTTGTACCAGTTAGAACAACATCATCCACATATACAGCCACAAAGATGGTGGAACTTGCAAACTTCTTATAGAACAATGAATAATCATTCAATGAGTGAGTATAACCTTTGGAATACAAGGTTTCAGCCAACTTTGCATACCAGTGCCTACTAGTCTATTTTAGGCTGTGAACACCTAATTTTTGACGTGTTTAATTTACTCCTACAATATATAGTAAGGTCTTATATTTTTTGTTTTGTATTTTGGGTAATTTTGTCTTTGTTCATATTTTTTTTGTTTATTGGCCCAAATGACCCAATTTTTAATTGAATTGGATTAATTTAGACCAAATTCTGATGGCCCAATCAATTTTGACCCGGTCCAATAGAAATGGTCAAGATTAAATCTCAACCATCCATGTTTTTTTGATCCAAGGGTTCTTATGGGACCCTATCAAAAATACAAAACCCCAAAATCAAATTTTTATTGCCATTTTTTATTTTTGTTCTTCTCCCCTTTGCTTCCACCAGCCGCCGGCCGACCACCACCGCCGCCGCCACTGCCGCCGGCGGCCACCACCCCTTGACCGGAAAAATCTTTAAATTTTTACCACTTCGTCCTTTCATCCTCCTCTACACAAATCCACAAACCATTCATTCATATTCATAGCCAAACTCCATAAATCTAAGAAAAACCAAACATAAATCTTCACCTTTTTCTTTAGATTTAAGAAGTTTCGGTCATCCCCGTCCTATATCCTTTACATAAAAGTGTAGAGCTCTTCAAGGGCTATCCTTTCATGTAAAGTTTATGTCCAAAATCCGTCAAAAAAAATTCCGGCGGAATTTTCCGGCGACCTCCAATCGTCCGAAAAATTATGTCAACCATTTCCCCCTCTCATCCTCTATCCAAATCCGTCATTATCACATTTTTTAAAAACCATATAAGTTGTTTTGATGCCGGATTTGTAATGTTTTGATTAGTGTTCTTCAAGTTCATGTTTAAGTTGTTGCTTGAGTTTTATTTTTTATTTTTTATTTTTTTAAATTTATTTTTTATTTATTTATTTTATTTTATTTTATTTCGTTTTTATTTCTTATTTCTCATTTTTATTTTTCTCTGCCCTATTTGTTGTGTTTGATCTTCAAAATAGTTTAGATATTTAGATTTTGTGTTAGTGGACTGATTTTCTTTTAACTTTTGGGTCTTGATCAATTTTGGGCCTATTTTAAAATTTTCAGATGACCCATTAAGCTATTATTCAATAAATGAATAAAAGAAATGGGTCATCTAAAATGACATTTTGGGCCTATTCTATTTCAGATGACCCATTTAGCTATTATTCAATTAATGAATAAAAGAAATGGGTCATCTAAAGGGCAATATAGTCTTTTAATTAATTCTTGAAAAAAAAAAAAAGGAAATTTCATTGGTCATCTTGGGTGGCACCTTGGGAAAACAAAGAGTCCAATGCATGCATTGGCTCTTAAGTTTTCAAGAAGAGTGGGGGGTTTAATGCTCAACACCTATTTAAACCCCCATTCTTATTTTCATTAGAGGAGAAGGGAAAAAGAAAAAGAAAGAAGAAAGAACAAGAACATAAAATTATAAGAGGAAAAATCATTACTTCTAAAAAGAAAATATATATATATATTTCATCTTTGGTGGTCTTTTGGGAGTGGAATTGAGTTTTGCTTTCATTCTTATTTTGTCATCATCTCTTTAGGTATATTTCTTTCCTTACACTTTGCAATGTAACTTCAAAAGTAATGAAACATGTTTATATTTTTGATTTAATTATTATGTTTAGTTTATTTGAATTAGTTAAATATGTTATGATACTTAATATGATTATGTTTCATTGTTATTGTATATTTGTGTTTTATTATTAAACTAACTGTTAATTCTATCTGATCATTATGAAATGATATATAACTTTATTGGAATTAGTTAAATTATAGCTTGTTATTATTATATACTTGTGTTCTATTATTAAACTAGGTGTGAATTTTATATTTATCATTTTGAAGTTGATACATAACTCATGCTTTTGCTAAAAAAAGAAAAAGAAAAACAAACAATCTCAAAATCTTTTTTTTTAATTATTAGTTTCTGGTCATTCTAAGAAAAGAAAAAAAAGTGGCTGTTTTTTTTGCAAAAAAAAAAACTAAATCTGGTCATTCTTGCAAAAAGTGTAAATATGACCATTTTTGCAAAAAATGTAAATCTGGTCATTTTTGCAAAAATAATGTAAATTTGATCATTTCATAAATTCAGTTTTTTTTTCTCATAAATAAATATATAAAATGGTTATTGAAACGAAATACAAAACCGGCTACTTTGGTTAGTAATTTAACTATTAGCTAAAATAGGCTATTTTTGCAATTTTCTTTCAAAAGAAAACATATGACCAGT